GCACCTCCTGAAGCTTCAAAAACTGTGTGAAGAAAGGGTGGTACTCTTTGTCTAACCTGAAGTGGTATTATTGGGCAATGAGTGAAACCAAAAGCATGCAAATCAGATTAAACGACTTGGTTTAGAGACAGCAGCGAATAAAAGTACCTAATCTTGGTTGAAATTGTTTGGTCCCAATCATAAACTTACTAACCCTTTAATTACAGCTGACAATTACTCATTTAGAATAATAAAACAAGTTTGAATTGGAGGGAAACCAGTTGACTTGGTACAGTGGTGTAAAGCTGGTAATATTCTCTATATCTCATTTCTCATTTGATTGTAAGTTTTTGAGATATGTCCGTTTGTGAAGTTCTTTATCTCTTTCTAAGATGCTGATAGGAAAGTCCTGTTCATAGTGAAAGATACTAGGCTAAGGATCTGGCAGAGGACATATGTCAAGATGAATGGGAAACATGTCTCTCCAATATTAACACCATGTCTATACAAACAGGCAGCAGGTTTATTTAATAAAAAATTGCATCTAAAAATTCCATCAAACACTGCAACAATTACAGAAATTGAATTTAATACCGATGGACACTTGCTTGCAATGCAATGGTCAAGGTGTCTTAATTCTACATAGTTAATGGAGCTGCACAGCACTTCAGAACTGATGGAAGAACATTTCTGAGATTATCTCTAGTATCTTGAATAGGATTATTTCATATTTCAAACATTCTGTGCTCAGCTGAACCACAGGACTTCCTGACCGCCACGTTTCCTCCCATGAAAAGAGATGGATTGTTTTAACTCTAACCACAAACAGATTTTATAGAGACACTGTCAGTAAAACACCTCCCTCATATGAGTGATGATCAACAAAAGGTCAATTGAAATCTTATTAATACATTACATAGACTACAGGCATGTCTTGAAGACATAAAAACCTAGATGACTCTTAACTTCGTGCTCCTGAATGCAGACAAAACAGAAATTATAGTCTTTGGATCAGAGTCTTTGAAAAAGAAACAGATTAATCAGTCACTTCATTTGGATGGGATTAAACTGATTTCAGATAATAAAGGAAACAATCTTGGTTCTATTTTTGATCAGGATCTGTCATTTCAAACCCATTAAAAAGAGGTTTCTAGAATTTCCTTATTTCGTCTGCAGAGTATTGCAAAAAACAGAAATCTCCTGTCCAGGGGTGATGCTGAGAAACTAGTCCATGCATTTGTTACTTCAAGGCTGGACTATTGTAATTCTTTACTATCAGGAAGTCCACAAACTGTAGTTAAAAGCCTTCAGCTGATCCAAAATGCTGCAGCCAGAGTTCTGATGAAAATTAAAAAGAGAGATCATACACTATATTGCCAAAAGTATTTGCTCACCCATCCAAATTATTGGAATCAGGTGTTCCAATCACTTCCATGGCCACAGGTGTATAAATTCAAGCACCTAGGCATGCAGACTGTTTTTACAAACATTTGTGAAAGAATGGGTCGCTCTCAGGAGCTCAGTGAATTCCAGCGTGGAACTGTGATAGGATGCCACCTGTGCAACAAATCCAGTCGTGAAATTTCCTCGCTCCTAAATATTCCACAGTCAACTGTCAGCTGTATTATAAGAAAATGGAAGTGTTTGGGAACGACAGCAACTCAGCCACGAAGTGGTAGGCCACGTAAACTGACGGAGCGGGGTCAGCGGATGCTGACGCGCATAGTGCGAAGAGGTCGCCAACTTTCTGCAGAGTCAATCACTACAGACCTCCAAACTTCATGTAGCTCAAGAACAGTGCGCAGAGAGCTTCATGGAATGGGTTTCCATGGGCGAGCAGCTGCATCCAAGCCATACATCACCAAGTGCAATGCAAAGCGTCGGATGCGGTGGTGTAAAGCACGCCGCCACTGGACTCTAGAGCAGTGGAGACGCGTTCTCTGGAGTGACGAATCGCGCTTCTCCATCTGGCAATCTGATGGACGGGTCTGGGTTTGGCGGTTGCCAGGAGAACGGTACTTGTCTGACTGCATTGTGCCAAGTGTAAAGTTTGGTGGAGGGGGGATTATGGTGTGGGGTTGTTTTTCAGGAGCTGGGCTTGGCCCCTTAGTTCCAGTGAAAGGAACTCTGAATGCTTCAGCATACCAAGACATTTTGGACAATTCCATGCTCCCAACTTTGTGGGAACAGTTTGGAGCTGGCCCCTTCCTCTTCCAACATGACTGTGCACCAGTGCACAAAGCAAGGTCCATAAAGACATGGATGACAGAGTCTGGTGTGGATGAACTTGACTGGCCTGCACAGAGTCCTGACCTCAACCCGATAGAACACCTTTGGGATGAATTAGAGCGGAGACTGAGAGCCAGGCCTTCTCGTCCAACATCAGTGTGCGACCTCACAAATGCGCTTCTGGAAGAATGGTCAAAAATTCCCATAAACACACTCCTAAACCTTGTGGACAGCCTTCCCAGAAGAGTTGAGGCTGTTCTAGCTGCAAAGGGTGGACCGACGTCATATTGAACCCTATGGATTAGGAACGGGATGTCACTTAAGCTCATATGTGAGTCAAGGCAGGTGAGCAAATACTTTTGGCAATATAGTGTATCTCTCCTATCCTGGCTTCTCTTCATTGATTTCCTGTTAAATCCAGAATAGAATTTAAAATAATCCTCCCTCTCACATATAAAGCCTTAAATGGCCAAGCTCCATCTTATATCAGAAATTTGATTGTTCCTTATGTTCCTAACAGAGCACTTCGCTCTCAATCTGCAGGTTTACTAGTGGTTCCTAGAATTTCTAAAAGTAGAATGGGAGGCAGATCTTTTAGTTATTAAGCTCCTCTCCTGTGAAACCAACTACCAGTTTTAGTCTGTGAGGCAGACACCCTGTCTACTTTTAAGGGTAGGCTTAAAACTCTCCTTGTATCTTGGCTTATTTCTGTATGCCTGCTTCTGTATCCTTGAGCCCCAGTCGGCCCCGGTAGATCGCTGCTCACACTGAGCCTGGTTCTGCTGGAGGTTTCTTTCTGTTAAAAGAGAGTTTTTCTTCTCCACTGTTGCTACAAGCATGCTTGGTGTGAGGATCGCCTTTTAGTCAATGATTCGATGCAATCAACTGGTTTTCCTTAGATAAAAGGCTTTGAATCAATTTGACTGTATGATCTGGTTGAATTGTATCTGTAAAGTGCCTTGAGATGATTTGTTGTGAATTGGCACTATATAAATAAACTGAATTTAATTATTAGAATGTGTTTAATGGACTATTAGATAAACTTTATAATTATAACTCTAGTTGGTCTCCTTTAACCAGTTGGCTTTTTGTTATATAATCCACCGATGTGTGGAGGTTTAAACTCTAAGAGCGGTCGGTGTATTGCTTAGTGTGTGTAAAATGCAAAGAGAAGATGGAGAAAGGGAAGATTGAGTGGATAAATATAAAGGAAAGAAGAATCCTTATGCTCTAAATAAATTTAACTTAACTAATTTAACGAATCAATTATGAGTAGATGTAAGTAGCCTAATATCTTTATTCATATCTGAATAAATAGATTTGGCCCCCAAAATATTACATTCCACTTACATAACTGTTTAACTACAGAAAAATAAAATAGAAAAAGAAATGAACAAATATAACTAAATAAACATAACTTAATTTTTGTAACTAAATTTACTTCACAGATTTATTTTAATTGAGGAGGCAGTGGTTTGACTTATGTCCAGATTTCTTTTTAGTTTGTAGTCAAAGTATGAGTAAAATAAAGCTGGGTTTCCAATAACTTCAGTTTTAAAGACTGACAGTTATTTAGAGTAGAGCCTTAAACATATTTTTGAAACACAAAGACATTATTGGGAATGTTGAAATGACATTATCTATGACATAAATATTTAAACTCATTTGTATTTAGAAACTCGTTGATGAATAAATAAGACTCCTATTGAACTTCTAGTCATAAGTTGTTGTCATCTTAAATACTTAGATGGGTGGGCTTAGCAACTGTAACATACTGTTACCTTTACATGGACCTCAAAGACTTTATTTAGTGTGTGCATTTAACAGTTGTAGAATTACGAGAGGTTAGGGTCAAAATTCATTAGTTCATCGAAAATGAAATGTCTGCTTAATGAAATATAGAGACATCTAGATATTCCAAAAAATAATGATCCCAAACTCACTTCAAAAATGGATCTGGTTTTAATAGTAAACTGTTTTAATAGTAAACGTCCTTGATCTCTTGAAAAGTTGTTGACCACAAGAAAAAAAGTTGGGTCCTAAGCATCAAACAAACCACTTCAATTAACTCTATCAAATCTGAAAACCAAAGTGGTGAAATGTGCACCAACAATTAGATCTGATGGTAAAAAATAGCATGTCGATCAGCATAGTTTGCTCAGGCACTTTTATTTTAAAACTGCTGAACATGAACCGTATGCAAAAAGCAAAATTCAGACCCATCCTTGATTAAAGATGACAAATTCAAATCTGTTGGCCAAATTTCCCTTGAAAATGTATTAAAATAGCTTGTTTTATGACCACATGATGATGTATAAAAAAACCTGATTCAAAGCTAAATCAGGAAATTCTGCTAAAATTAATGTATAAAATCTTCTCATCAGCATTGAATGCCAGTAACACCAGCCATAATTTAAAAAGAAACCTGAGTAACTACAAACAAGATTTAAAAAATATTTTTATTTAAAGTGTCAAATAAAATCCATATAAACTTCCTTATGTATTCTTTTTACGTTTTCAGCAAACTACTTGTGTAAAATGAACCATGCAAACAGCAGCAATATAAAAAGAAAGCAGTGCTATAATAACAGAGCCTGGAGTCTCGTTAGAAACTCTGTATTAAAAGGTACTCCCTTTTATTTATTCTCTTGCAATGCTCTTCATGTGATAATTGTAACTTACACCAAAAGTTGATTTAGGTACAAATTCAGATACATATTTACTGTGAACCACTTCTGGAGTGAGCTTACAATACCCAGTAATGGATCAGATCCTGCCAGTGAAATGTGTGTTTAAGGAATGGGGCAAATTTTCTTATTCTTCCTCTGACCCCTCTTGTTCAATTGTTTGTTGACATTTTCACCAACACATCGTGAGATCTCCTCAGGTGAAGTCCTCTTGCAGCAGCGGTAAACAGCTGCAGTGGAAAAGGTGTCTGATGAACACAGGCTCTGGGATAATTGTTCTATCTGATTTGATAGAATAGAAAAAAAGAAAATTAGGTTCCAGCTTGTATTTTATGTGTATTATTTTGGACTAATTCACTTCATGTTTGTCACCTTTTGTGCAAAACAAGGGTTTCTGTCTTGCTCCGACAGGGGGCAGCATAGGCTTTTCAGCTGAAAACCAACAGGAAATCTGCAAACCGTACATATTGTTATAAATGCTGGATAAACAGGTGCAGCTAAATAGATTAGAAGGAGATTTAAAAGTTATTTCATTTTGGTAATTGAATCCATCAATAATTTATTACCCTCATAGGGATACTTTTATTGATTTTATTTTCATTATTACACCTTTTGAAACCTCAGCATCCAGTTTATACTCCATAGTTACTTTAAGTATTTGGGTCAAGCCAGTTCCATTGCAGCTAAACTGAGTTGAAGTTCCTTTGCGAACAGCTGCCAATCCTGATGGAAATGAAATCAACATTTCCCCAGCTTGACTGCAAAATAAAGCATGCAGTACACACACACACACACACACCCACACTCACCAACACAAAATCCTGGTACACTGAAAAAAAAGAACTCATAAGATTTACTTAAAAAATATATTGTAAGTATTTGCACGCAAATTATTTAAGTCAAGTAACTTTCCACAAGACATAACAGTTGAAAAGATATTAAGTTACATTTACTTAATTAAATCCAAGTTGTAAGTTAGATTTATTTCAGCAGATTAAGTAAAGTGCCCTTGTTTTTCATATGCACAAACAGCATTTTACTCAAAATTTTAAGGCAACACAGAAACAAAGAGGACAAACAATTATTCATGCACACACTCACACCTAAGGATAATATAGAGAAGCCAATTAACCTAACAGTCATGTTTTTGGACTGTGGGAGGAAGCTGGAGTACCCGGAGAGAACCCATACAAGCACAGGGAGGACAAACAAACTCCATGCAGAAAGACTTAATTTAACTTTCTGCAAGGCGACAATGCTACCCACCGCACCACTGAGCAGCCCTCTAACTGGAATCGTACTTTTCAAATATGCAATAAAAAATTTACAACCCTCTTAAACTTAGAGTTTCAACATTTGTTAAAGAAACATACTCATATATAAGATAAAGAATATTTAACTCACACAAACTTGCTCAAAACAACTTCTGGGCGAGGGTCAGTACAAAAACAGCCTTTTAAACTTTGAGCATTGGTGTAAAGATTATGTATTTCTCTATTTAAATGAAAAATAGCATGTAAAACTATAGCATTAATACCGTAGTAAAAGGGCATTATGTTGTACTGCATTCGAACTTGTACCAAAAAAGTATTTCATATACCAAGTATTTCATATACACCACATCCATCACAGATCTGGTAATATAACCTCTACTCAAATAAGCAATAAAAATCTTACAAACCTACACACTGAAACATTGCAATTTTTACATCTAAACCAGTCATCCAGACTAGTGGACTTTTAAGAATGCAATTAGAACATTAATGAAACAAAATCAACACAATTAAAAATTAACAGCTTAAACTGTCTAACCATTCTCAATGAAGAATACAATCTCTACTAGATATTGGAATAAAGGTATCTGTTATTTTTTGCAAAATAACATATACCTTATTTGGCAAAAAATAAAAAACATTAATGCCAGGCAACCTTCCACTAAGATTAACTGGAACTCACTGCTGATTCTTGGCATTTGATGCTACATTTTCCTTACCTAAGATGACAAAGTCATGAATGCATTTAGGAAATTAACTTCAACTTCAGGGTGTTAACTTTTGGGGACAGTTTAAATCCATCTAACTCCAGGAAGAGTTTTTGGACTTCAAAAGTGTAGTGCAAAGTGGGAGGGTAAGCCAAGTTAAGTATCAGTCCCATGAGCAGTGAGCAGGTTTTTGCAGTACTGTTGCACCCTGCCAAAATGTCTCAGGACTACCTCTTATTCTGTATGTGATCCTGTAATGTCTGGACTCAGAGCAGAATCAGTCCTGCTGTGAGCTACAGTGTGCATGTGCCGTGTATGTGTTTCAAAAAGCTACATTTTTAGAGTAAAGTTTATGTGGTATTTTTAGGTTTATGTACATACTGCTATTAAACATTTAAACAGTATAAGGAATTCCAAGTGAAACTTACTCTTTCCCCAAAATCAATTTGAACATTTAAATAGTTTAAGGAAATCTAAGTAAAACTTACTTTTTCTCCAAAATTCATTTAAACATTTAAATAGTATAGGGAAATCTAAGTAAGACTTACTTTTTCCCCAAAATGTATGTATTACGGTACATTAATAAAAGGTTTAATTTTACTTCAGAAAGGATAGCTTTTAGTGCAAGAAATATATCACTCTCAGTTTTAGTAACTTTATCTCTTAAATTATTTAACTCTTTGTGATGATCATATTTTTAAGATTCAGCATAGATTTACTGCAATATACAAAACAGTAGAAAGTATTTAGACATACCAATAGAAAAAAACAAAAGAAAGAACCAATGCCAGTAACATACTATGATCATACCTGTTGTCGGTGAAAACTTTAGTATCACACATTGTGCTAAGAGCAGGTGCCTCCTTCTCAGATGTTTTATTATAGAGCGGATCCAGAGAAACTGTCTGGAAGCAGCCAAATGGATCATTTGACTGACAACACTGAAGGTCTATCTGCCCAGCAATCTTGCCTGAGCAGTACCTATTGAGTTCCAAGCGCCACTGAAACAAATAAACAAATTAATTAATTGGTGTCAAATTCACTAACTTTAAATTTGAAAGTTATGCATCTTGTACCTTCTGCTCAGCACATTGGAGTGCACCCTTCTTCTTTTTGCAGCACTGCTTGTATTTCTTCTCCAAACGGTTGATGGTCTTCACCTGATGAGCCAGGATCTCGTAGCCTGAGCGTGGGAGGCACTTGGTTGAGTAGAGAGGTCTGAACTTCTGGTTGCTACACAGTGACTCAATGTTGATTGCAGAAGGCCTCCCAGGAGGGAAGATGATGTCGGTTTTTGGGGAGGCAGCTGGGTTGAGTTCAGTTTTTTCTCTACTGGCTCTTGCAAGATGTGGACTCATCAGATTCCTGCAATGCAATTGCACAAACCCAAACAATGACTTTCTTGAGGAGGCGTCATCTCTCAGTTCCCTTAATTCAATAATATTCTTAGAAGCTTCTCATTTGAGTTAAATCTGTTATTTGATGAAGCAGATGTTACAGGAGCCTCGGTGAAAGACAGATAGCCATCTTCATTGTGATGACATTTCAACATCCATGACAGCTACAGCCCCTTTTTCCTGTTATAACTTATTAAATCACATCATAATGTAGTATTTCATATCCAAATGAGCTAGATAAAAGTTAAGAGGATGAAGATGTAGGAGAATTATTAAACACAAAATTCACAGTCTGAGTTTTATCAAAGAAAAGGCTCCTTTAAAAAAAAGGGGCTAAAAATTTAGATTTGCAGTTTGTTTCAAGCAGAGGTGGGTAGAGTACCAAAACAATTTATTTAAGTTACAGTCACTCCAATTTATTCTATTATTACTCAGGTAAAAGTAGAACATAGGCATCCAAGAAATTACTCAAAAGTAAAAAGTACTTGGTGAAATGGCTACTCACTGTAGTGAGTAATTATTGGCTCATCACATCTGATTTCATGTTTAAAATGTATAATCAGGCAGAGAATTATGTACAAATTATAGGATTCAAAATGAAATAAAAAAATACAAATAGGTAACACGATTAGAAAATAACTTTGAACAGAAGAAACACCTTTACAAGTCAATTTCTTTAAGATAAACTGATAAAACCAGTCCTAACAATAGGTAATGCATACATGTCCAGAAAGAATAAAGAACCTCAAGCAACAATATCTGCTGTTTACGGTATTTTTATGTGATCTCTGGTTACATGTGGTGGGAAAGCACTCTTACATTTACTTTAGTAAAAGTAAAATACACAATAAAATAAAAATATTCCTAAAAGTACATTTTCTTTTGAATGTTACTCAAGTACACGGAACTATTTACTACCCACCTCTGCTTCCAGGTCCTGTATGAGACCCAGAAAGCATGTGACCTGATCACGTGACCAAGTTTGAACTTTCTACAAGCAGTAGGTGGAAGGTCTCTTTAAGTACTGTTCCCAGGGCCATCCGTCATTTGAATTTAAACTTGTATATACCTAAAAAAATAACTGCAGCAAAATATGTTTCTGGAAATGTACTGACTTTTTTAATCAGTACAAATGCACACCATGCTTAAATGTGTGGTGTGCAGGACCTTTCCATTGAGACTTTTGTCTACATTTTCTTTATTTTTTTTGCATAAAATCCACATTTAAAAAAAAAAAGTAAAAGTGAGTGGTTATAAAGTTACAAAACATGAAAAATGTTAAGGGTTATGAAGACTTTTGCAAGATGTTTGGTTTTTCCAGTCAACAGACCTCGGGCAAGTGTCCTGGTTGAAGTTAAAGCTTTGAGTAGAGCCAACCTCCTCCACAGGCAGCTCAAGCGTTGGCTCGTAGTTTGGATTTTGAGCGTTTTCTTTAAAACACTGGAATCTGCTGGTATCCGTTCTCCTGCAGCAATGATAAAGCCGATCTTTGACAGAGGAGTCCTCCTCACAGAACAGGTTAACTGATTGTTGCCACTGGAAACAGTAAAGACAAAACACTGAAAGTTGTCATGGTGAAATAAAAGCTTTGACAATGACAAACAAACCGCAACACGGAGACTTTTTGTTGCACAACAGCCCGGGAGAAATCTTGAGGCTAAGGTGCCCATTTACCAAGTTTTAAACAGAGAAAGATTGTTTAGCCATAACATGATAAATATGATTCAGCACTAAAACTGTTTTTTTCCACTTTTATTTTTTTGTGAAGGTGTTATCGCTGTGTGTTTTAATGGTTCTTGTCTGTTTAGTCTATCATTTGAACCCAGGCCTCCAACTATACTTGAAACATGCAGATAGCAATGTTTTATGCCCCTTTTTATAATCACAGTAACCCAGGATCAATTACAGCAAGAACAGTACAGTAGCACTCATTAAGTGCTCAGCAGTAGTTATTGTTATTTATATCAAGTTACACTGATTGCAACACATGAGACATAAAGAAAAAAAAAAAAAAAAAAAAAGTGCTGACTCTAATTTTGAGAAAAACTTACTGCCTGTGTGGCGCAACACAGCGTCATCTCAGTCCCCCATGTCTGGTTCCCTTTGCAGCATGTGCTGAACCACCACTCTGCATTATTAACAGCTGTGGCCTGGCGCTTCTGTTTGCCAAAACCAGAGTTAGGAAAATAAGAGTCTGGGTAGCGGGGACGATGGTCGGAGTTAACACATATGGCCTCAATGTTGTCAGCCGTTGGTTGGCCGAGGGGAAACTGGACAGGATAGCTGAGCGCAGGAAAAAAAGAGCGTGGGCCAAAATTGGGTCGACCTTTGACGAAAGGAGAAATAATGCAAGCTTAATAGTTTTGTAGCAGGAGGTAGTGCACCATAAAATACAATAATAGAAGATGCATACTTGGTGGTAGTTCTCCTTCTGATGCAAAGGGCTCTGATGGGAGAAAAAATAAGTAATGTTAAGTCTAAATTACTGCATTGCTTTTGCTTAAAATGAGATATTATGGATGGATGGATGGATGGATGGATGGATGGATGGATGGATGGATGGATGGATGGATGGATGGATGGATGGATGGATGGATGGATGGACAGCAAAATATGGACAGACAGCTGTTGTGTAATTCACAGAAGCTTTTTAGAATAGGAAGATAGACCGTACCTCCAAATTTGATAAGCTCGGACAAATCTACCTCTCTCTGCATAATTGGTTCCAGCAGCACTAAAAGACACATTTGATTAAAAAAAAACAGTTTCTTAACATTTACGCAGTTTCATTTGTTTAAAAAGACCAGAGGCAGCACAACCTGACCGACACAAATCATATTCATAAAGAGTCATTAGAATGTTTTGACACAGTTCAAAAAGTACAGTTGTTCACAAAACAAATATATGAACTAAAATCCTAATCTTCAATCTGAAGCCTTTAAAAGCTTCTTAAAGAAACAATAGTCTGGAAAGACATGTAATCCTCACTTCCCTGATAGCTGATCTAATTGCTCACTTCACTCACCTGCCTAACCCTCCCCGTTCACTAATTATCACTCATTGTATCCACCTGCTCCTGCTGCTTATATCCGATATGCACAGCTATCTGGGCCAGATCACGGTTTGAGTTTTGTTTGTGTTTGAAATATTTGTGTTTTTCACTAGTTAATGTTTTCGTTCTTAGGGGACAGTGGTTAGAGAGGGTTGTTTACTGTAGTCTTGCTGTTTCCTGATTGTGTCCTGGCTCTTCTCCGGTGAGCGTGCCCTGTTCCTGTTTTGGCTCAGCGGAGGGAGCTACTTTAAAGTTCTGCAGGTTTCCTGGTGTTGTGTCATGTTTCTGCCTCTCAACCGCGGAGCCGCATCTTGTTGGCAGTCCATTGGCTGGATCCTGCCTTTCTCGAGAGGATGGACTGAACGGTTTAACCAGGTAAGGGACTCGTACAGATAAGCATCTTCTATCAGATTATTGTGGTCACCAGGGCCGGCGATTGCTACAGGCGAGCTAGGCAATTGCCTAGGGCGACAAATGTGTTGGGGGCGCCCTCTAGCGTCGCCCTTAGGCTTACTTCCCATTAATCATAGAATTAGAAAAAAAAGCGAATTAAACCGGTTATGAAGCGTCCGTCAGTTTGACTTAACCTTACGTATATATAAATAAATAGCAAAATATGAACAAATAAATATACCACCGTTTTTTTTATTTTTTTTTTTCACATTTAAGAGAAAATCGGAAAAGATTCTGATCACTTTTCAAGCGCCCTCCAACCCGGAAGTCGTGACGTCAATCACTGCAGCATGTACACCAATATTTTGGAATGAAATTGTAAGCAAACAGATATTAAAAGTAAAACAAGTGAAGTCTGACACTTAACTTTGCTCGCGACTCGAGGATGGCTGAACGGAAAAGACTCCCCTCTCCTCCTCCAGCTGCAGTCGGCCCGTCTTAATCATCCACTCAGAGTACCACTGGTGAGCGCACACAGACTTTGTAGCTTGTCCGGTCAGTTAAAAATATTAATTGTGAAATCCGTCTTGTAATCGGAAGCATACAAGCTAGTTAGCTTGAAAAGTAAATAAAGTTTCAGACGTGCTGCGTGATGATGCGTTCAGATTGGCTCAGTAAAACGATAATTAGGTTATCATGATGCATTCAAGTGTAACGTAAAGAAAACGGGAAATTTAGTTTTTGGCGAGAAACATGAGTAATACAGTTGTACATTGCTCTATATATAATTAAACTACTGATGCCAACATTTATTAAAAATTACATTTAATTTAAAATACAATTATTTATTTGTTAAATATTTTCCTAATCACTAAAAACATGATGAAAAGTGACAGTAGACAATACATTAACCAACAATTGTGAAAATATATTCTAGTTAGTTTTATGTCATTTCCAAGTGGCCTATTACATTAGCCATGTTTATTGAAGGCTAGAAACGTTTTTGTTATGCTCACTTGTTAAGCAATAGAAGCAATACCAGTTCTGTTAATAAAATTTTGTTGCATCGTCTTTCCACCAAATAACAGAAAAGTATAGATAGTGGTATCGATAAAGACTCAGATCGATAAGGAGTATCGATAAAGGTATCGATATCATTAAATATTAACGATCCCCATCCCTAATGTTGACATCATTTTTTTCTCAGTATATATGCAGCAGAATTATGTGCTATATTATTAGCTTGAGAATGGGTAGAAGATACTAATATAAATAAAATATTTTGTAGTGATTATCTGCATTGAGTATTCAAAAGGGATGTACAAATAATCATCAAAATATATGAAGTTATGGCTGTTCATCATAGAATATGTGAACAAAAAAAAACAACAACTTCAAACTTTACCATTACAAATTTTGTAATGGTATTCATAAAAGAACTTTTGTTTGTAGAGGGTTAATCCTTTCTTTAATCACTAATCAATGTCAGAAATCAGGGTAAATATACCTGATATATTTTATTTAGAGGAAAATTTTGTTTATCTCATTTCTATTTATGTTCAAATGATTTAATTGAACTGGAACAGAAAATTTAATTTAATGTTTATCAATTACTTTTTTATGTAGTCCTTGGTTGAAGAATTTCTTAAATTTATTATTTTTTATTGTTATTTGGTAATTTCTGAAATTGATTTATTTAATATTTGTTTAATGTGTGTTAAATTTGTTAATTGTCTGAAATAAATTCATTCAATGATTCAATCCAGTTTTTTAGTTATACTTTACCTAAGTGTCCTTACAGATGGTTAAAAGTGTTTTTGCACAGTCCTAACTTTGAATGTGTAATAAATTATTTAAAATAATAAAAAAGAAAAGGTACTGCAACCTATTCTGGTATTTGTCTATGCATCACTCCATGCTAAGTTACAGTTTTTTCTGAATGCTTAAACACAACCTTGATTCTTATAGCACAATTTCTAAAACTATTATTACTTAAAGCAAATCCACTCACTGAGTTCACAAAACTAAAAGAACAAACACTGCTTTGCACTCAATTAGCAATTTTGTAACACACACTTTGCACAGCTGTAGGCACAATTCACCGCACAGGGGGGCGCAAAACTCAATCTCGCCTAGGGCAACCAAAGGGCTAGAACCGGCCCTGGTGGTCACTTACCTGTGTTTATCCCTAGACCCAAGTGCTAGTGATGGGTGGTGCCCCGCCTCCCCCTTTCTGTCTCGCCTTGAATATTGGGTCCTACATTCTGAGGCTCATTACAAGATAAATCTTTAAGCCATTAGATACTGTAGGGCTTGCCATTATAGCTGTCCAGATGTATAAGTCAAGAATCCCATATAACTTGTTTTATTGTTATTTGTAGTCATGATTATCAAGTGTGGATGAACTTTTTAAATATTTCATGTTTTTTTTAATGAAGTTTTAAAATTACTTTCAAATGAATACGTTTTTTCCTATAAATTCAAGTCAGATGATAAAAGTGTTTTGTGAACATATAGATCGGTAAATTAGTCTATTTGTTATTACTCTACAAACATTTATTTTCATGTTTCCTTGATTTAAATGTTTCGCACACTACAATAGTTTAGTCTATCAAACTTTACTCTTTCGCTTGAGCTGGTATTTAAATGTATTTATTGGAAAATTAGACATGACTTTAGATGAGTTGGTCAGAAAAACACTTTATTTATGGTTCACTCTTATAAAACTTTATCCCCAGGGGTTTTTCTTTAAAATAGATTATACTGATGATACAATATATTATATGCTCTGCCTGCATTATCAAACTGTTATTTAGGGAACTAATGTTAGGTCCCTAGATGAGCAAAAAAGCTCAAACAATTAGACAGGGTGGTACTGAGCTGATCTTATCTACAAGTTGGCTTTTATGTCAAGCCCTGCTTGTACAGGAGTATCTACATAAATTAGAATATCCTCTTAAACACATTGATATCTGTATTTCAGTTCAAAAAGCTTAACTCCTACATCAAACAGAATTGTTCCACAAAAACTGAAATATTGTAAATGTCTTAATGTGTCTATTTCAATGGTTATGGCTTACAGCAAATAAACCCCCAATCTTAGGTTTCTTAAATAATTAAGACTGTTGCACAAGATATACAGATATATATGTAAATCTTTTTTTTTTTTCCCTGTACAACGCAGTTGTAGTATACACCTTCTAAAAGTGAGATGAGAAAGAAATTCCTAAAGGAGCTGCCCACTTTTGGGTTTGATCCAAACAAATTGATAGGAATCTGAGAAAGGAAAATTGTTGTTGGGGAAAAAGTGCACAAGCAACATCACAACTGTGGGGTGGTGAAAGTTATGGACTTCTGGAGACAGGAGAAACCATCCACAGACATATGACATATAGTATGATTTCTGCATCCCTTGCCACTCCTGTACCAGAGACACAATCAAAGGGGTCTCTATGGGGCTCAGATCACAGATAACAGCACTGGTTCTCATTGGTACAAAGTAGGGCTGCAACCAAAAATTATTTTTCTGATCGATTAATTTGAAAAAATATTTTTTGATTAATAATCAGGTAGCCAAAGATTTTTTTTAATTTTTATCTTAAATTGAATTTTTTTTTTTTTACAATAGGTATAATTACTCTTCTCAGTAGGTTGCTATGTCAGCTAAAGGCATATTTTAGATTATCTATACAACAGTAAATGATTAATTGATTAATACATTGTTAGACAATTATTTTTAATAATATACTGTATTAATTGTGATTAGTCACAGCATTTGCTTGTGTTGGCCCACTTTATCAAGTCCAAAGTGCACTAAACTGTCTACCAAGACATTTTAGGACCTTCCATGCTTACATTTACTTAAAAAAAAAAAAAAAAACTTAAAGGACATTTAGATTTGACCATGGCATCACTGCGTGCTTGGCCATCTGACCTGAAAACTGACCTGAACTGAAAGAATCATTGGAGTATTGTCATAAGGGATAGAAGATGCAGAGCTTCCAGAGCACACCAGCCCTACCTAAATACACACTGCTTTTATTTATTGGCCAATGCAACATCCACCCTTATTAGGTTTGCGTCAGCTGTGAGTCATAGAAACAGATAACAGAAATAAATCCTCACAAACATCACCACCATGAGACCCACCTTGACCTTGGAAGGGATGGGATATGGTGGACTCACTCTGAACGCAAGTTTGCGCATCTGGAAAACAATAAACAGAATAAATAAAATAAAAATGACGCAGCATGACCTGAGATTTGTTACTGTAGAGGCTGCATTTACTTTACCGATGAAAACACATTGAAAAAGAGCATCAGAGAAAAAAAGGATATTTTTTTCATAGATTTGTTAGTGTTTTTCTTAAAAAAAAAAACAACACAAAAAACATTTAAACGTCCTATTTACTGTATAGCTGATCCGATATAAACATTTAGCAGCTATGACGAACATACATGGAGCACTGCCCAAACAACAACAACTCTAACAAAGGTTGTTGTTTTTTTAAATCAACAAACTAAACAAACTAACCTTTGCAAGCTGAGCTCAGTACTAAGAGCGACGCAACAGCGGCGCTCACCAAAGCCGCGGAGGAGCTCATGTTTGTGATCCGTCCTCTGGTATAATGTCTGCTGGTATGTGCTGGACAGAGGAATTTAGTGACCCAGTTATTATATCAGATCAGTTGCCGCCCAGGAAAACACGCACAGACCGGCCCGGTAATTGGTCAAACAGACACCACTGGGTCTGTCTGATAGCTCACCCTGCAGGCAATCACAGCAATGCTTTCATGGATGAAGGCGCAGAGGCGGAGTGAGGGAAGGAGGGAAGTTTTTTAACATGACTCATAAGGAATCAGCTCAAATCCAGGATTCAAGTTGGTTTGAAACAGAGAAGACGTTTTGCATGTCTGAACCTGTTTCTTTAACCTTTGCTTGAATTAGTCTGGTTATTAAACTAGTTTCACTTAACTCCAAACACTTCAAAACACACTTCTTCCATGTACGGTACTCTTAAAATAAGTGCATTTTTCTTGAATTGAGGACGTAAGTTAGATATTCTGCCAATGAAACGAGACAATTTATACTTGAAATAAGAAAAAAGAACTGCATTGTCTTATTTCAAGTGCATATTATCTAATTAACTTATTCCAAGAGTAAAAAATACTCATACCATTAGCGAACAATCTTATTTTCCTGCTCAAATTAAGAGTAAATTTACTTATTTTAAGACATTTTCACTTATTTCTAGATCGTTTTTGCAGTGTATGACATTGAGAATTGTAGACCTCCTTAAAGTTCAACATCTGCATAACTAAATTTGAGACATAGACAACATTTATTGTCATTTTGTAGACACAGGGTGTCTGCAAAACGAAATTTTGTTTTGTAAAGCTCGCATGACATTTCCATTTTTTAAGGATCAGCAGTGATCAATGTAAACATCGCTGGAGAAAAAAATGGTGCAAAAAAGCGCATTGATATCATCAGTTTGATGCAGGGTGTGTGACATAATCTAGAATTTTCTAAACAGTTCAGTTGTCTGATGGCAGTGGGGAAGAAGCTGTTTGGGAATCTGCTGGCCCTGCATCAAATGCTACGAAGCCTATTCCCATAGGACAGCAGGGAGAACAGTCCTCTAAATGTGACACCTGCATCTTTTCTAACAGTTATAGCTGTATCTAACAGCACTAGGATGTTTTGATAAGTTGAGTTCTAGAGATTAATGTGAAGCCCCAGAAAGAAACCTAAACGTCCTGTGAAGATGAAGATGATGGCTGAAAGCATTATGATAGTGTCATTATCTACAGTGAAACCAGGCCTGTATTAACATGGGCTGAATGGCCACTCAGAAAGGAAGAAGCCATTACTCTGAAACCACTGTTAATAGCCAGATGTTATGATCTATAGGGTTTGATTTAAGTTATACCTTGTTTGTGTATGGGTCTTTTTTTTTTCATTGTGTTTTATTCTCATTAAGATCTTTTCATATAATTCCCTTGTGACAAGTTACTTAATATTTCGCATTTTGGGGTTAGATTGTTTTTAGTATTGATTCTTCCTCTTTCTGTTATTGGATCCTTTTCTGCTCTTCTCATGACAATTCCATGTTAAATTTATAATGCATTTAATTTCCTCTCAAAGTCAAAATTGACAACTTCTAAGTAGGGAATTTTACTATAAGAAAGTCCAAATCAGGGCATAAGGACCACCATTCTTGTTGTATAAACTATTTTCTGCATATTTAAGATATTATATTGTCAGAGTTGCCTATCTTCAGCAGTCTACGGACGAGAGGCGGGATCTGTTGCAGTGCAACACAAAAACAAACAAAGACATACAACCATGCACACACACTCACACCTAAGGACAAATTCTAGAGAAGCCAATTAACCTAACAGTCATGTTTTTGGACTTTGGGAAGAAGCCGGAGTACCTTTAGAGAACCCACACATGCACGGGGTGAAAATACAAACTCCATCTCCGGGACAGGAATGGAATCCAAAACCGTCTTGCTGCAAGGTAACAGTGCTACCCACTGTTCCATCGTGCAGCCTCCACACTGGGACAAGAACACTTAACACAAGAATGCATTCTACTTTTCCCCTGACTTTTCAAAAGTTAATGAGACTCTTTCTTAAGATGGTTTCATGCAACCCATTTCAGTCCTTATACCATCAATAGATCATTGCCTTGGTGAATTATATGTACTGTTCTAGCTTTTGAAAACAGACGAATAAACAAGCCAGAGTTGTACCATTTTAAACACCACCAAAAATGCTATATCTTTAAAATTGTTTCCCTCTAATTGCCAAAGATAGTTCTGATATATGCAGGACAGAATGAGACAGAAAGACCACTAACAAAGTGATGTTTTGAGAGCCAAATACCTGTCCAGATGATTAACTCAAGTATGATACATCCCTCAGGGTTTCTTTCATCCTCTTTCAAGTCTAAATTATTTGATGTTGAAGTATGGGAAGAAAGGATTTGTTTTTCTTTCAAATTTTATTCCTAATTGTTTGACAAGTGTGTCAGCGAGGAATCTATTAGTCCGACAAAGTGAATTATATTTATAAACAGACCATCTACCAAGTATGCTGTTAGGAAGTATTAACATAACCAACATTTTTTTATGTTTAGGCTTTAAAAAGCCTTTTAACTCCAAAACCAACGGTAAAGTGCAGTTTTTTTCCCAGGTTATTTGCTTTGAGAAAATATCAAACACTCTTAGTGACTCCAAGGTTACAGCGACCGAGTGAAACCAAATAAAAAAACTCTCCCTTTCAGATATCAGCAGTTGCTTGGTGAAAGTGTGGCTCTATTTATCTTAAAGGGCCAGGGTTCAAACTGGGAGGAGGTTCCACTTTCCCTGCCCTGCCCACAACATCATACACACAGATCATGATCAAGCATTTGGCTTGATGTTCAGTTAGGAAGACAAGAAGCTGTTCAAGAACAGAAGAAAAAGGGTGTGCACAACTCCGAAAAGAAACAAAAAGGGGGAGAAGTTGGTTGTGCGGCTCTTTAATGATACAGAAAAAAAAAGGATAACCAGCATGCTGAGGTTCTGCATGATTTTAATTTGAAAATGTTTCTAGTTTTTTGTATGTTGACCTGGAAGGACTGTTTTCTATTACTTTGCACCTTGATCATATAATCATTTTAACAGCAAAAAGCATAATGTTTGTTTTTTATCTCTGCAGGATCATCTAGAGCCTTTTTGAAAGCTTTAGTTACTCATCTTGTCCATAAAATATGCTAAACTCAAGGACCCAACCTTCATTTGTTGGGTTGTACTAAAAGGATAGGTCATTTTAAATTTTGTGTTCTTAGTTCTATGGTTAAAAACAGCTTTGAATTTTGTCAATCTGATGAGAACTTTTGAAAGACCACATCATAGTTTAAACACAATGACTCATATTTCCTTATGAGTCAGCTGCATTTATACAAAACCACTTTTTCTATTCCAGCGAACATTAGTCAAGTCGTCCATAAAGAGCTGTAAAAGATGTTTCACTTAACTTTATAGGGAATTTTCTCACCATAACATACCTAAATGATGTGTTGTACTGTCTGTATGTCTTGTATTCAATTAGTCAAATAATACTGCCCTATATTTTTGTTTCCTGGAATATTTGCATAGGGTTAAGTTTATTCGAAGTTCAAAAAAAAAAAGAGGAATACATTACCTTTGCAAAAGTATTCACGCCACTTGAAATCTTTCACATTTCACATGATAACCACTGACTTCATTGCATTTTGTTGGTATTTTATGGGACCAGCATAAATTGCAGCAGATTGTGAAGTGAAATTAAAGCAATATATCCTTTTTAATCTTTTTTTTTTTTTGGCAAAAATATTCACCCCACTAGAAATCTTTAACATTTCATCACATGATAACCACCAACTCCATGGCATTTTATTGGTATTTTATTGAATCAACATAAAATTATAGCGGATTGTGACATGGAATTAAAGCAATTCATGCTTTTCATTTCTTTTTTTTTTTTTTTTGGCAAAAACAAATTTGAAAAGTGTGTCATGTTTTTGCATTCCGGCCATGTTACCATGAACAATATTATTGAAAATAGTCAAATCAACTAAAAGTTGAAATATATGGCAAATTGAAAGGAGGCCTTCCTCCTATTTGCACAGAAGGGTGTTGAAAGAAACCCCAGTGAAGTTTACATATTGCAACAATATATGTAGGGAACTCTATAAAATATAAAAAAAATGTGCTCGATCAAGATGAGACAAAATGAGTTTCCTCCTCAGGTACAACAAAGCTGATCAGAGTTAATGGAAAAAAAGGATAAAAAAAAAAAAGTCAAAAAATGCAAAGGATGAGATTTTGTTGGAGAATCACCGTTAGCAAGAATATTTCTCTTAACATACAACCGCAATTACAAATGACTTTTTGGATTAAACTATAGCTCTGTTTTAGAATGGCCTAGTCAAAGTCAAACCTAAATCCAGCTAAAAATATGTTGCAAGAGCTACTTTACAAAGGCAACATGATAGATTATTTTCAACTAACTACTGAAAATAGGGAAAATGTATACATTAAAAAAATTATTTTTTGAATACTCTGAAAAAATACAAGGTCCTAAAGCAGCTTATTTAAACAAACAGAAACAACTTCTCTGTCTGTTTTGTTGCTCATGGTTGGACATGTTTTATCATCAACAGCAGAACAAAACCTCCCAGAAATAACAAGGAGACAGCCTTGGGACTAAACTTTTCTCAGCTTTTGAATCATTTATTAAAGCAACCATACAACAGAAAACCTTTTGAGAACAAACACTGAGCAGAAGCAAGAATTACTGAAAAGAAAAAGAATAGTATAACATGACATAAACATGACTCTACAGTAACAATAAAGAAACTTCACACTAAGTTGAAATATGAAAAAAAATAAAGTGACAGCAGAAAAAAAGGGGTGTTATGTAATGTTTTTCCTGTGAAATGGGGTCAACATCTGTTACTGTTTGTTTTTTTTATTGCTTATTTTTTCCGGAAATAACAGCTTGTTTTTTTTTTTTTTTTTAGCATTTTTTCTTTTTTTTTCTTAATCCCCTGCGTTATTTACTGCTATAAAAGCAAATCTTACAGCACCCCTGAAACACTTTTTAACTCGGACAAAAAAAAAAAAGTTTTTTTTTTCAGGTAGAAAACTTCTCTGCCTTTTATTCATCGTTTTAACTTTTCTCACCTTCTACTTGTTCTGCCAGGTCATTTTTAGGGTGAATCCAAGCTTATATGAGACCCACTGCCAAAGTAAAAGCTTTAAGCCATGTTCTAATTTGCAGGATTTTTGGGTCACTGTGACCTGATGTTGAAATTTCCGCTGCATCCCGTCTCTTTGAATCTCTGCATAAACAAACTGATGCATAAGGAGTTCTACAGCTGGAAAGAATCACAACAGCACATCCTGAGACAAAATCAATCCTAAAAATATCTTCTTACATAACATCAAAAAACACGATTCCCTGAAATAATCAATCTATTAAAAATAAATCCTATAATATTTAATGTCAATTACAGTTTTTTTCCCCCTATTCCTAAACAGAGTCCTTTGGGAGGTACATTAAAAGTTAAGGTTCTGCTTGTGTGTAGATGTGTGCGTGTGTCTGCATCTTTGGAGGGTGGTCAATGAGTTGCCCCCGGCAGTAGCTCGGCCTCAGATGCAAACAGCTCTTTGTAGAGGGGGGGGAACAGAGAGTGAGCTGTGAGTGGGTAGCGTTGGCTGAACCAGCGCAGCTTCTCCATGTGCAGGACGCACAGTGAACGCAACACCGCCATCCTCTGGTAGAGCTACAGAGAGGACACAGGCACACAGAGATGAATAACTACAGTGGGGCCAGCGTGTGAGCGGATCTGTACATCAGCTAGGATCTACCTTATGCATCAGGCTATCCTGGTTGTCTCGGTGAAGGATGTGATTTAGACCCAACTCCACGCTTCTTTGAACTCGTTGAACTCTGCCTCGGTCCTCCAGAGATGGACGGTCTGCTCACAAAGTTAAAGAAAAAAGTTTGTCCATCTTTAAACCTTTTGATATTTTGTAACGTAATATACAGACAAATATTACTTTTTTTGGGGGGGATAATATAAAAAAGTATTTCAGAAAAATAATGCATAGTGATCATTTGAAACAGGTGTATTCCTTATTTTAATTTCTTACTGTATGGGACTATGGGATTTTCTCAAATTTTATTTAAAAGTATGTTGACAGGAAATAGGGTTGAGAGAGATGGGGTGGAAGATCAACAGGCTGTGACTTAAACCCATGACTTCCATGTCAAAGACTAAGGTCTTTTGGGGTGTGTCTGCCTTTCTTTGCAGAAAAGTTTAACCTTATTCAGACTGAATGGAGAGAGTCTAGAATCCCAAATTAATAAAAACAACAAGAGGGAGTTCAAGATTTTTATTTTAGGATAAACATTTCCATTTTTTCTTTAAGATCCTGTCACAATAAAACAAAAGTAAGTTTTTGAATTCTATGTGATAGACGTAAATAGCAATACTAACTGAGTAAAGGAAGAATAAAACATGACATTTGTTTAGTTTTTAACAAACAAAAATCTGTAGTCGAATCCCTTTTTGTCGATGAATAAAATCCAGGACAATTACCATCCTTTAGAGGTTTGTTTAAAACTGTTTAGAAGAACAGTTTTAAACAAACAGACTCATAAAGACCAAGAAAAAGGCTAGAAAAGTCAGAGGAAAAACGATAGGTACGTTTTAAGCAGGTTTATTTAGTGAACTCTGGAGAAGCTACAGAGATCCACAGGTCAGGTAAGATAATCTGTTTCTAAACCAACTATTATTCAAACCCTCCATAAATCTAGCCTTAATGAGAAAGCGGTAAGAAGAAACCATTCTAAGTCAAGTTTAAAGGTTACCACAAGCCATGTCTGGCACATAGCAGAGATGTGAAAGAAGGTGCTGTGGTCACATCAGACCAAAATTGAACTTCTTAGTTGACATGTAACATTAGATTTGTGGCAGAAAATTGACATTTAAGGTCGCTCTGAGCAAACCATCCCAACTGTAAAACCTGGGGGTGGCAGCTTCATATTTGCGTAAATGCTCCCCTTCAGCAGGGACAGTGAAGCTGGTCATAGTTGACTGAGAGACGGATCACCAATGAAGGTATCGAAATCCTAAAGAAGGTTTAGATAGAAGTGTGTTCATTTGTTAGCGTGATCTGGTCCAAAGGTTCCAAAACATTTTAGCCTAAGACCCCAAAAAACAATGCAACAAACTGCAGACCCCTGAAAATATATATTCCCTTAAATACTTTACCCTTTATTTATTTTACATAAATATAAAAGTTATATTTTTCTGAAATAAAAGTGTATTTAAAAAATTTATGTAATCTATATAATTTTGCACTTTAATGTTTCATAAATCTATTTATCATTTGTTAATTTATTTTATATATCTACAAAGCATTAACTAAAGGGGGTTGGATATAGGCTGCAGTTAAACCATTTTTCTGACATTTTAAAATCATGCTATTTTTTTTTTTTTTTATTTCCTTTATTTTGCCAGGTAAACACCGTTAAGATCTGGATCTCATTTTCAAGGGGGACCTGGGCAGAGATCTGCAATACACTGCAACCTGGTTACAAAAAAGATCAATTAATACATATGCACAAAATATAAAACAATAATAAAAACAATTTAAAAGCAGTGACACTGTTTCATAGAAGCTTGTTGTCTATCTTTAAGAACCGCTCGAAATAAGTCCAATGAAAGAGTCTGACATCTTGAGGTTAGACTGGAGTTGATTCCATGATGTAGGAGCCAACACATTGAATGCTTTCTTTCCTTTATCAGTTTGAACACAAGGTTCTATAAACATGCTGGTCCCACTGGTGGAATACACTAAGGTTTGTAGTTGTAGCATGATTTTTTTTGTTTATGGTTTGAGTATACAAACAATGCATTGCAAGGGTGGGGTTCATCTTACCTGCATTAATCAGCACCAGTGCACTGAAGAGAGCCAGCTGCTGCTCTGTGAGTTTCAGAGCACACATCCCGTGAGCAAAATCGAACACCGCCGAAATCAAATCACCACACGCTTTTGGGAAATTAGACCAAAAATCAGTAATGAGTCCCTCTAAAAAATGTATTGGTTTTATCACAATTGGCTTTGCATCAAATTCTTACCCAGAGACTTAAACACCTCAGTTCCAGCAAATTTCCCATCAAAGAAAACAGTGTTGTTTTCTGTGTTGAAGAAGCGGCTCATCCTGACTAAGACCACCTCCATGGAGCCTGAGCGTTTGATGGAAGAAAAATGGAGAATTAAATAGTTTTCTGCAAGGACTCACATTTTGTTGTGATGAGTTTACTGAGTCTTACCAGTTTTGAGGAGAGCAATCTGGTCATTCTGGCTGAGCATACGGAAACCCGGGATGTGTTTCGCAAACTCCACCACATACTGTACAGCATCAGTCAGTCGGACGGCACAGTGCTGCCACATCTCATCAACTGTCTGCAAAAGATTTAGGATAAAAAAAAAAAGATTATATGCTTTTATAGCTGTGAACCTCTGTAATCCCATATTAACATATTTTATTTCATAGGGGGCCTTGTAAAAGTATTTACACCACCAGATAAAAATATTAATAATACATTACATTATAGAAAAATAATAAAAGAAATCTTAAATATGGCATACATTTCTATTTCTATGTTTATATTTTAATTTAAGCAGCCATCCACTGTTGATAGCTCATCCAGGAGGAGCGAATGCTGCAGGTCAGTGACTGGATGCAATAAGTCTGCTTTCCTTAGATAGAAAACTTTTTTATGATTTGATTGAACTGACTCTGTAAAATTTCTTAAGATGAAGTGTTGTGAATTGTGGATCTAGATTTTTGGGGGGGCATCACAGCAAGGAGGCTAAAACAAATGCATACCACTTTTTCTTTATATTGTTAGCAAAAACAAAATACTGTTTCCTCCCTCATCCCAATCTTGCACCACGTTAAGGAAGATCACAAAAAATCTAAAAAATAGGAGAAGATAGGACATTTGTTCAAAGGGTATGAATATTTATTAAAGACACTATAAATTGATCTGCCGCTATAAAAACAGCGACGAAAGAGGAAGGAGGAGGGGGAACGATAAAAGAAGTTTTCTCTGTTTTCTGTTTGATTCATCAAACAAAGGTAACCTCAAGTCATGTAAAACGACGTGTTTTGATATGAGTGTCTGAATCACACGAGAGGAAGCCTGACAAATACAAAAAAAAATATAGAAAACATCAATTTTACTTTGCTCTGGTAGGCTTGGATCTCCTCTCTGCTGAAGACTTTCCATGTGAGAGCCTGCAGCTCCTCCAGTCTGTACTGGCTGGTCTCTCTGTGCGAACGCACAATGCTGGCACACAGCTCATCTGAAAAAAAAAAGAGTACGCACGTTAGAGCTATATTTAAAAGATAGCTTGTTCAAGATGCATATAAGCACCTTGCACCAAGAATGTTAACACTGTGTATATGGTTCTTATAAGATAATGCAACACAAATTAGTGCATTGTGTTACTGTAGGTGAAAGTGAAAGGAAAACTGTGGTGTGAATTGTCATTCAGCCTTGTTTACTCTTTTTCCACATGTTTGTTAGAGAGCAAACCACATCATGAACACGGCAGACAGATCAGGGACAAATTGGTGAGGATGTTTAAAAGAGAGTTAGGTTATAAAATCTCCTTCAGCATCTCTGTTTAATCCCTCGTTTGAGACTAAAAGGAGTATGTCACAACTGCAAACTTATCAACAGATTTATGTTCACCTAAACTGAGCAGAAGGGGCAAGGGGAGCATTGTTTAGAGAAGCAGATCAGAGGTGATTCTGGAGGAGCTGCACAGAACCACAGCTCAGGTGGGGGAATCTGTTGAAAGAACAACTTTTGGTCATTCACTCCACAACAATCGCTATTATCAGAGAGTGGCAAAAAGTAAAAGGAAACACTGAAAATTTGCCAAATAGCAAAGTAGAGGAAACATTGAATGGATTAGGGAACAGTTAAGTTCATATGAGATCTAGTAATACTTTTGTCCAAAAACCATATGTGGTGTAAAAACACCCTAAAGACACCATCCTCACATTGAAGCATGGTGGTGGCAGTGTGGCCTGACCTGGTCATAGTTAAGAAGAAGACACATGTTAGAGCCTGACCTAAATCCAAACCTTGTTCAATTCTTAATGCAATCAGGACCTAAAATCCCTTGAGAACTTCAAGGTAAGGCCGACAAATAATGATTGAATGATATTCTTTCTATCCAATCTGACAGAGATCAAGTTTTTTTTCTAAAGAAGAACAATCAGAAAGCTGTAGCTGTAACCGTTGTAAAGACTGGTTCTACAAAGTATTAACCCAAAGGAGCAGAAATCAAACCATCCTTCTTAGAACTGTACTCCCAGCACTGATAGAAAAGTTTTTCTCTGTCTACTGTAACAGTCATGCAATAGGTTGTCAATCTCAAAAAGTCTCAATAAGGTTGTTACATCATGAAATGTGATAGATTCAAAAGTTTATGAAGACATTATGCAGACTACTTACCTATGTTTCGCAGAGAATGGGGATATAGGTTGTACAGATCATCAAGAGGATTGTACGGATGAAGAGCCATTAGATCATGAGGTTGCTGCCTGGAGTCGAATCCTGTCAAAAAGAGAAGAAAATAGCTCTAATAGGGAACAAGAAGATAAGAATATGGTATTTAATGAGAGTTCCTAAAACAATTCCTCACTAATATCGTGATGTCCGCTGTTGTCCGCCCTCCCGTGGGATCTGGATGTCGGTGAGACACCGGAGCTCCGGTAGATCATCCCAGATACCTGCGAGTCGCTTGGGGAACACAGCAGATATGGGTGGACCTCTGGGCCGTAGGTCATTAGCTCTGCATCCCCAGTGTATGGGTAGGCAGTGGCCATGGGCTGAAGGAGCTGTGGGGAGCGGTCCTGGCGGTTTTTGGATTGGTAGGACAGCGCCGTCTGAGTGTCTCCCTGAAGATGCTGCTGTTGCTGCTGCTGTCTGTGTCGTTCTACTTCGGCTATAAGAGAGTCCCGCTGACGTTTGGACATGCGACCAAACTTCACAGCTGGAGAGAAAACAGGTTATGACATAAAGCAATCACCTAATCTCAAGTGAGTAAAGGAGAAAGTGTTTTTTTTCCTTACCGTCTCTGCTCATGCCCTGGGCCAAACACTTCTGCAGACGGCAGTGCTGGCAGCGGTTCCGACTGGCCCGGTCAATCTGACAGTTACTCTGCCTGGAGCAGGAGTAGGACACAGTGGGAAGCTGACTGCGCCGGAAAAAGCCCTAAGAGTTCAGATAACAATGCAAACCACATGAATGAATTTTAAAATCAGAGGCACAGACACTTAAATTACTGTACATTAATTTAGATATTGATTTATTCAAGCAATCATTTGACTATCAATGTCCTGCTGAAGATCATGTCATACCATCTCAATAAGATTAAGACTAGACTTGGACTAGACCGCAGCATAACCTTTAGAGATGAATGTAGTGGTGAACCTCATGGTCCTGCTGCAGATTACAGTCCAGGTATTGAAGCAGCCATGCAGCCCCAGAGTATTACACTGCCACCACCATGTTTGACTGCCAGTATTTATTTATTTTTTGTAAAAAAAAATGTTAGTTTAACGTGAGATGTGACAGAAGACATCTTAAGAAAGACAATCATTGCCTAATGAGTCCATAGAATATTTCCCAATGCAGGGCCCAGACTTTTTCATGAAAAGTGACCTTAACTGACGAAAGAGAGCTCTGGATTTGTCAATAAATTGATCTGTCTGTGATTCTCCTTTGCAGTTTTCCATGCTGGAGCAATTGCTTTAGAACTCCAAGACAAAATCTGTTTAAAAGTTTTATTGATTTAAAAGTCATTTAATATATAAAAAAAGATTAATTAAAGTAAAACCAATGATTTAACAAGGTGAGCTACTCTATTACTGAATAGAGTCAGGTTGGTTTGGTTCCTTTTATCCCTTCCTAATTGTAACTTATGTGATGAGCTGAAACATTGAAATTTGACCAAAAAAAGCATAAACTTAACGTTAAAAAACTCTTAACGTGGGGGAATATTTCCATACAGAACTGTAGATGCTGAAACATTCAAAGGAAATAATTTAGACATTTGGACAGAAACTGCCTGTTTTTCTTTTTTCTTTTATGAGAGTATTTTCGTGGTCATGAGGTGTCACTGCTCCGTGTTTACACAGTATTTGATCTGCAGACTTGTGAAATTACTTGTCAGACATTAGGTAAGAGAACAAAACAAAAGACGACCAAATCTGCCCTGTGAACAACGTTTAGCTCTGATCTTTAAAGGAGTAGTTCAACATATTGGGATTTACCCATCTCAGCCTTCTCGCTGCTGGATTCTCAAACATGACATCACTGCAGCTCATTTCCCTCCTCAGTTGACTCTCAGAGCCAATGTTTAGTCAGACTGAAAACTTTTTGAAACAATTTTTAAAGAGATGAAGGAGCAATGCTGAAATAACTGAGCAAGCATCTGCTCTGCAAACGCTCAACCTGGTTAACTCTTTCCTATCCAAAAAATCAATCCAAGAAGCTGGTACTAACAATGCTACTTCGTCAAATACTGATGGAAATAATTTAAAGTACAATCTTAAGAGGGATTTATTCAAACACAAATACTTAACCTGTTACAGCTAGTAGTTGTTTACATGCACAGGTTTTAACAGTAGACATCTTATGCAGCACCATGAACCCAATAAGCTGATATCGACCTGTTAATCAGTTCTGTAGTAGCCAGTCTGCAGTTTGCTGCTTTACAAAAATACTGCTTATAGCCTGGTAGCAATATTTATAAAATATCACCGTCTTAATGTATGGCTCCAGTTAATTTCCCCTTTTCTAAACTTAATACTTTTATAGATTCTAAGTTTTGATTGTGCTAAATTAGTTATGCTACTTATCATAGCAATTCAGAACATTTGTGTACAAAACATTGACCAGGTTATGTTACTACATTAGAAGGTGTTGAAATTCAGTAGTATGTTAAAGGGACATTTCATAGCTTTTTCTTTCTTGGCATTTAGACAAACTAAAATCAGCTAAATTCTGTTTTTTAATCTTTAATGTTCTTGATTTTGTTGGTAAGAACAATAATATATGCACAATAATAATATAGCAGGCCGAATGCAATGTTTTTATGAACCATAGCCTCTATGGTTCTTACTTTATTCGCCCAAAACCTAAAAAAAAGTATTTTCGTCCAACAATTTCTCTTGTATTTAAGAAAAAACATCTAAGTCTAAGGAACATTATGGTTAAAAATTCTTATGGATTAAAAAAAACTTTACTATATCTTAAAACCAGCAAACCAACTAATACCTATTCAGCAGCATCAATCTGGTGCTTGGTTCAACTGCAGCAAATCATCAAAATTATGAAAATAAAGGGACAATAATGAAATATATTAGAACAAATGCTTGCAATTAGTTCATCGCTACAATAACACACAGCAGAACATAAACAAAAAAGCAGGAACAAAAAAAAAAGCTGGAGAATTATGCTTTTTATTCTTTTTGATTTTCCGTCCTGCATCAGGAAGTTCTTATTCAGTTCATACAGTAGATCTTAAGTAGAGACAATTTGCTGCACCTATGTTTTCTGAATACCTAAAAAAAAAAACTAAAAATGATCTTGACTCATTTGTGAATCTTAAGTGGGAGTCTAAACGTGTGACAGTCTACATGTTGATGAATAAAAGCCAGACGGTGTGTGTTTCAGATCGATCTTTTGATATTTTTTGCTTCTTATTGAGTTTACAGATAAATGTCTTATATCTGTTGTTTCTCACCTTGCATCCTTCACATGTGATGACCCCATAATGGACTCCAGAAGACTTATCTCCACAAATCTTGCATGGGATAACTTCAATCTGGGCTAAAAATAGGCAGAAATACAATAAATGGAATTAATTAACAGCGTTTGAGGCACAGCACCTGGCATCAATGACAGAACAATTGGAAAGGAGTTATAATCTTCTTTTAACATACATTTAGACAGCCAGATTAAAGTTAAATTCAACAAAACCTATAAAAGATGTTCATATAATGGGGCGACAGTGGCGTTGGATGTAGGAGTTTGCCCTGAAATCGAAGGGTTGACGGTTCAAGCCCCGAGTCTGACTTTCATTGTCGTTGTGTCCTTGGGCAAGACACTTCACCTGCATTGTCTACTGATGGTGGTCAGAGGGCCCGGTGGCGCCAGTGTACGGCAGCCTCGCTTCTGTCAGTGAGCCCCAGGGCAGCTGTGGCTACAATGTAGCTTGCCACCATCAGTGTGTGAGTGTGTGCGTGAATGAATGTAGTGTAAAGCGCTTTGGTCAAGTCTCCTAACTTGAATAAAGGCGCTATATAAGTACATGCCATTTACCATTTACCATATAATAACATGCAGACTTTAGCTCTAGCAATGAAGGTATCTAAAATAAAGCACATTTGTCTTATCCAAGCAGAAAATTAAACAAAACAAACAAGTGAAAGGAGAGAAAACAAATCTTTATGCAAGAACATCTAGTTTGGAAAACTTGACAGCAGATTTAGAGGTGTGGGTGTCAGCATTAGTTGCAAGGTCGTAAGAAAGAAACATTTCCAAGCTCCAACAATTTCTGCCTCAACATCTTTTACCCAACATTAGTTAATTAATATGAAAGTTCTTAATGTAAACTTGACTTGCTAATATCAACAATGCATAAATGAATGACAATAAGACCACTGCCAACTTTAAAGATAAATGCTGCAGCTTCCTGAGCCACAAGTTCACCACGATGGGGACAGGAGGAAGATGTTGTAACCTAAGGCTGCAGATGCAAACATTTGTCATTGAACTGGTGTTGATTAGTGCAAATACTGAAGACTGATCCCAGTTGAAAGCACAGCTGATGATGGGGTGTATCTGTATCAAGGCATCTTAAATTTACCATGCAGTCATGGAGGAAACCTCTTGTATTAATCCTACTCGGTGCTTCAGGTCAGCTGACCTGCAGGGGCAGTGGCAGCAGGAGGGAACAGAGCTCTAGAATTGTGGAATGAGCTCCCCTTTCTTACTGTCCTAAAACCCATTTTTATTCTTCGGATTTCAACACAGCATGAGACTCTCTCTGTTTATCTGCTTTGTTTTAATTGTTTATTTTTTTGGTTTAATTTGTTTTAATTGAAAGTATTTATCTTACTTGTATTATTCTTTAAAATGTTTTCTCACTTTTTTCGTTTTTAAACCATTTAAGTGAACATTTTATCATAATTTTTTACAATAAAAAGCATATAAAAGCATATAAGCATATAAAACAAATATAGTTTTCATTAGGCTGAAAAGGAGTTCAAGGTGCTACAATAAAACAAATGTAAGCTTTGTTTCAATCATAGCACCAATGGCTAATATGACTTAATTACATTTCTAACTTTAAGAACTTGCTAACAATCTCGCCTCTTCTTTTGCTTTACAATCCAGATTTAATGTGCTTTATATAATTTAGCAAAAGCGTTCTGTATGTTTTTAACCTCTATGTGGTTTAGAGGGATTATGACTATTACTGTGCACATTTTTTCTATGGTTTTAGAATCACTTTTTTTTTGTTGCAATTCTGCTAATCTTATACTAACAAAATGATGCAGCTGTTTTGTTTCCCCCCTATACCTTTCTCAGCCATTGCAACAAAATCCTGGGCCGATGTGGTTTTTGGTGGCACAGAATCTTAAGACAATAAAGCGATAATAAAATATAAGCAATAAGATTTTGCCGAACTGTGAATGAGCGCACATCAGGTCAAAATGCTACTTCTTTAAAAATGTTTGCAGAATTGCACGACTGATTAAGTCTGATCGGAAGAATGCTCCAGCCAAAATGTTTTGTCAAATTTATGTTGCATAAATAAATAAAATTGTAATTGTGATATTCCTATAAATGAACAATCATGACGAATGCCCAATTAAAGGTAAAGAATAAACATCTTTATCACAGAAATAAAATCAACTAAAACCTTTCCGTAAATCCTCTATAGACAGTGGCATCTTCCCTTTGACAAAATAAAAAAAAAGTTGCATCTGATTCAGCAACCAATTTCACATTTTCACCCATAGAATCAGACATGAAGATGAACCCTGCAGTAGGAACATTCTTTAACGCTGTACTTCCCCTTTAACATCAAACAGCAGTTGTGTGACCATGGCAAACCAAAGGTTTTTTCCTCTCCAGCACCTTCTGACTTAATAAAAATGAACAAAATAACATCAAATGCGATAAGAGGGGTGTCGTCTAAGGACGTGGAATATTTGCAAATGGAGAAAGGTGGCAAATGTGAAGGTGTCAACCTCAAAGTCCTTTTAAGTGGTTGCTTGACTTCTCTTTCATTGTGACTGTCCCTCTTTCATGTCATTTCTTTACTTTGTGATTCTTCTCTATCTCGCTCATACAGGACAACTGCCAGTAATGCAGTCTTTCATTCATCGCTGCCAGTAATGTCCATCCCCCTCTCGCCTCCCCCTGTGCCCCTGATCTCTCTAAACTCTCACACCCCTCAGTCTTTTGCTCAGATCTGTATTTTGTCACAGAGGAATTTATGAAACCAGCAGTTATGTTGGAAAGCCATCTTGAAAATATGTGTTTTCTGATTGTTTTTCTCACAAAAAGACCTGAACTCATTTAGCCGGCATTACTGTACGGAGCCTGGAAATGCTCAAATCTCATAACATGTTGCAATCTCTTCATCTAGTTGTGTCCTCTCCTGTCCACCTTCCATTTCTCCAAAGCCGACCATCCTTTGCTCGACAAGCTGTCACTTCTGCCTGTGGATGTTGCCTTTATTCGCAAAGTACTGGTGTTTCCGTGCAGAACTGTGTCAGATTTTGTTTCATTGCAAGTGTGTGTTAGTGTGTCAGTGTGTGCCCTCTTTATCTGGTGCCACAGGGATCACCCGAAGGCTTCCGAGGATGAGATTAAATAACAATCAAACGCAGAGCGGATGCGCATACAGTAAGGAAAGGAGAAGCAATTAAGACATGACTAATAAGAATGCAATTTATGGTATTACTGATGACCTGCTGGCCTGGAGATCTAGGAGCTAATATCCAATGGGGATATTTAGTTTTGCAGAAAAAAGCCTGAGACAAAGTTTCTCTGAGAGCTGAGAACAACAGTGGTCTCTGCTTTTTTTTTGCTATTTCAGTTCTGATTGTCAACCTCAAGCAACAGGAAATCCACTGTGACCCACAACCGTTCAGCTCACGCTCTCAATCACACACATAGAAACACTCAATATTCAAACAACGCCATTTTTTCATGCAGCGCTTGTGATTCTCAGGCTGCAAAGAATGCAAGCAGAAACTGAACAAAATCAACACAAACAGCAGAAAGAAACAGCTTTCAAGTTTTTGGGACTTATTTTCTTATCTTCAGCCACAGCCAATTCCAATCAAAGCCAACATCTACTGATGCACAAATGTTTGCAAGATAAAAATGACTACGCCGCTTTATCTCTTTCATTTGTGTCATTTTTGGTAACCATAGAAAGAGAGATTGTGTCTCGGTTTGGTGAGAGTGAGTGCAGTGCAGGTTTTGCTAATAATGCAATGTTTCTTAAAAGGCTGAGATTGTGTGTGTGTGGGTGGGGTGGGGGTGGGGGGGAGTAACCTTAAACTACCCATAGATAAGCTCAAATTGTATTACTATAATAGTACAAGAACTTATATTGGTATTGAAAAAAAAACATCCAGGATCTCAATGTGTCTCATTTGGAATTTATGGGACAGACCAAAGTGGAGGGAAAATGGTTTTGAGAATTTTCGTTAACTGAAAATTCTCAAATAAGAACGAGACGAATCTTGCTGTCATGTCCTGCTTTAAAAAAAAAAAAAAAAAAAAAAAAAAAAAAAATATATATATATATATATATATATATATATATATATATATATATATATATATATATCCCCACAGCATGATGCCTCCCCGGCCATGTTAGATCAGTGTAAGGTTTTTTTTGCTGCATGTAGCTTTTAATTTCATCCACATCTGAACGACTTTCTTCCACATGTTTGCTGCGTCCCCTAGTTTTACTGTAAATGGATTCTCCCACCTGAGTTGTAGATCTCTGCAGCTCCTCCAGAGTTACCATGTGCCTCTTGGTTTTTGCTCTGATAAGTGCTCTTCTTCCCCACCTCTGTCAGTGAAGGTGGATGGCCATATCTTAGTTTATTTGCAGTTGGGCTGGGATCAATTGCAAAAATATTTTTTTTACCGCTGATTTCTTCCAAAGGAAAGCCATATTTATACTGATATTAAATCAAATGACTAAAAACTCTATTTAGTGATTAGGTGACTTCTGCAGGCGGTCGATTGCATTAGATTTCAACAAGTCCTCTTTTTCCTTTCACTTTTCAGTCAGGCTGTTATTTTTGATAGTGGGTTATGAAAAATCTAATAAATGCATTGCAGTTTTAAAAACAAATGTATTTCTTGTATAAATGTAAGATGAATATATATTCTTAAGGCTCAACTAATTCAGCCAAAAAGATAAGAGGACAGAATGTAGAATGGTAGAATATAGTGTAAGAGAAGTTAGTCAAAGCTATTTGGCATATTTATTTGAATTGGACAGTAGATATGAGCTGTAAAAGCTCCCAATTTTAACATATTTATCTGAAGGAAATTAAGGCAAGGACCTGCAGACCCAAAACAGAATTAAAAAGCAGATCCAAGGATATCTGGTGTTTGTAAAACGAGCTCTTTAGCTTTTATATGAATGTTTTAAAGCCTTCATGTCATTGAACTTTTCCTTACAGGTTTTAGCCCTGAGAATTTAAAATGTGAATATGTACTTTTAAGTGATATTATTCTTAATATGTTAATCAGCTTCATTTAATTCACCAGAAATAAGAACCTCT